TATATATATATATAGAAACTATTCTCTAAAACGCTGTTTTTAAAAAGCGTTTTTGAAGAGTTATCTAGATATAATACTAATATAAAGTTACCACTAAATATTTCAGAATAATTTAGTTGTAGTATTTATTCTAAAATTAGATAACCAAATAACTAGATAACCTAATTACGAGAAATACTTTTTCAGGGAGTAGGATATAACGAGATATATTTTTTCAGGGAGTAGAATATAACGAGATATACTTCTTCGAGAAACAGGGATTGTAACGTAGAACAACTCTCGTGTCAATCACAATTTTTTATCTTCAACTCAACCAAATATTTGAAATCCGATATATACAAGTATTGAATTTAGATTACGCTGAATTGTCTGTTTCTAAAAAAATGCTTTCGTTTTATTTTAAGAGTTTTCTATACCTGGCGCAAAATACTGCATAAAGTTGTCTAGTTACAGTATTTGAAACTATAATTAGATAAACTAGTCATAAAACTTGTCTATATAACTCGAAAAATATACCATAACTTATTTTTTGTTCTATGCATATACATGCTTACATCATACTCAGAAAATGCTGTGTAGCCAGGTTTATATGTTGTATATCAATGTTAAACTTCCAGAATGTGCTTCTTGAAAGTTTTCAAAGTCTAAAGAGAATTGACTTCAGGAATCTCTTAAGCTTTATTATTTTAATCTATGATTAATTCACGAAAATTTAAGTCACTTGCCTTTATTCAATCCCTTTTTCTTATGAAGACATTTTCCTTTTTTTTTATAAACTTTCAAAACCGCAATTAGAAATTTTAAAAGCTTTGGATTTATGACTAGCTAATTTTGACATAGCAATAAATATTATGACTAAAATCAGAACTATAATTTCCATTTCTGTTATATCACGAACAACTTTTTAATTTTGTGATAATTTCCTGTAGAAGTGTACAGCACGTCGTTAGTGTTTTGTGTGATAAAAGCATCTTGACGTGTGTGACACGTTCTTCCATCGAAAGTGGCTACATGTGGTTTCTAGCGAAAGGTCGTTGTATTCCCTTCTCAATTGTTAAATGTTGTGATTGTTAATTTTGATAATTTCGGCTGAATGGCAAACAAATTATCTCGAACCCAAATTTTTTTGCAAGCTCCTTCGACTATATTTTAATTTAATATGCGATCTATAAAACCATTTAGGAAAGTCAGAATTTTTTAATAAAGAAAATCAAAGTTGTATTACATAATCAAATATGACCGTTAGTAAATATAACCAGAAAGAACATACAAAGCAAAAAGTCCCCATAAAAATTTACAACAAATTTGCACGCCACTGCCGTATGGTTCAACGTTTTTTCAACATTTTTATCAAACTACTTATTTTATCAAACTCTGTATTTTGTTTCATATATTGTATCATCATCAAATATAACCAGAAAGAATTTGCAGAGCGAAAAATCGACTTAAAAAATTTACATCAAATTTGTTCACTGGTGTCTTTATGGTTCAATGCTTTCCAATATCTTAACCAATGTACTTACTTGAATATATTTTTCATAAATTATAGCGTCATCAAATATGCTAGGAAAATTTTGTTCACCAAAAAGTCACCTTAAGAAATTGGCAAGTCATCAAATTTGCATGCGGGTGCCGTATGGTTCACATTTTCCCAATCAATGATCCTAATCAAATACGACCAGAAAGAACTTGCAGACCAGAAGGTCACCTTAAAAACTTTACATCACATTACCCAATAGTGTCTTTTTATGGTTCAATATTTACCAATATCTTTACCAAAGTACTTACAACATAGTCAGGCCAGTAATAGGGAGAACCTGGTTCATCTATTTCCGGTATAGTAGAAGAAGCCTGTTTGAAATCAGCATAAATACAAAGAAAAAATAGGTAGACCGCGATCATGTCCTCCTGAGAAAAAAAACAATAAAAATGATTTTCACTTTCAAAATTTGCAGAGAGAGGGAAACTAGCGTAAACATGGGATTAGAGTGAAGATTTTTAAAATTTTTTTTGGTGGCACCAGTGTGTACAAAAGCAAGTTTTTACAAAAAAATTACTATGGAAAAACTGAAAATTTTTTATTGAGAAATACAAACGCAAATCAGATATTTTAATTAGCGAAATTGAAAGGGATTTGAAATAATTTAAAATAAAACAAAACACATTGTAACTCAAAATGAGATGCAAAATACAGTTCAATATATTTTTATTTTTTGGACATTAATATTAGATGAATTATAAGAATTTTATGAATGTTAAATCATAAAACGGTTTCCTAAGCTACAAAAGAAATGGAAGCAAATTTCAAAAACATTAAACAGTTTAAAAATCCACTTTCGTATTTTGTGTTTTGTAATAATATTAAATTAAAAATATCAAGATTAAAAAGTAGGAACTGCCAAAAAAAATTTTGAAAAATAACATGGATTGACCATGCAATCAGCACACAAAAAGCACGTCCAAAGTGATAAACGTCTGATTCGAAGATCGCAAATCGTAATATTTTATTTAATATTTTATAACCGTCGTTGAACAGACGACCCAATTTTTAAGGATTAGCGACTACAAAGGTTCAACTCCGTAGCCTTGTAATTTTGAACCTAATCCAGAAGACAAGGGAACTTCTGGATCGATTATTGGGAGAAATTTGTCTTCGTGGAAGACTTTTTTGATGGAGCTAACCAGGCATTTGCGTTACATGGAGAGGAAGACCACGAGAACCTCCCACGATTAGCCTGATGGCAAAGGGGACTCTAACACATGATCCATCTACCACGGAGGATATTTCACGTCAGCACTGTGGTCGGTGTCAGCCAGATGCGAAATTCATATCAACTGGGATTCGAACCCAGTTCGCCTCATTGGAAAGCGAATGCTCTATCCCCTGAGCCATCGCGGCTCAAGTCTTAATATTAGGCTTTTCGAAACCCAGTGGAGTAACCGCTGAAAAATTATTAAAAAAGAAGGCGAGAAAAAACTTTTAGATTTGCGATGAAATCGGCACAAAATAAAGCGTACATTTAAAAGCACGTTTCGAGTGACATATGAATAGATATTTAAAATATTGGGATTTTAAAAAAGTGTAGAAATTCGTTTACGGAATGCTGAAAAAACAAAACAAAAAATAGCTTGAGTTTACGATAAAATTGACACTAATAAAGCAAAGTAATTGTTATTTGCACAATTCGAAAGTCGCAGGACATAATAATATCGGATTAGAAAGAGTGAGATCTTAAGAAACACCTCGAAATTCAACAATAACGACCGAGAACGTGATCGAAAAACCACTTGGATTAACCATGAAACGGATTCAAAGAGCCTCAAAAGTGATAACTGACATTCGAAATTCACGTATCATAATTTTGTTGTATTGTTAATATTGGGATTTTTAAAGCTTATGAAATTTGTAGCTGTAAAAACCGAAAAAAGCGATCGTCAGACTACATTGATTTAGATTTGGCTCGTCAAAAACTTAAATGCGCAATTTTATAACTGTCGTTGAAGAGCCGACCCAATTTCGGGCTTACATCTACTAATGTTCAACTCCGTAGCCTTGATATTTTGAACTCGATCCAGAAGACAAGGGAACTCCTGGATCAAGTATTGGGAGAAATTTTCCTTTGTGAAGGATTTTTGATAGAACTAACCAGCATTTGCGTTACATGGAAAGAATAACTACGAAAACCTCCCTAAGTTAGCCTGACAGCAAGGGAACTTTAACCCACTGTTCGTCTACCGCAGAGGGTATTTTACGTCACTGTGGTCGATGTGGTCCAGGGTGCGGAATCCGTTTCAACCAGCCGTCGCTGGGATTCAAATCCAGTTCACCTCATTGGAAGCCGAACCCTCTATTCCCTTGGCCACCACGGCTCTAAATGTACAATTTAAAATTTCTGTTTTTCTTTTATATTAAAATTTCTTTTTTAGTATGTTCAGGTGCAAATGCGGGCCACGCATCAAAAACTGACGAGCTGCAGGTTGTGCACCCCTATATGTATTAGTTCTCGATCCCGCGTCCTCAAACTTCGTGCCCCCTCCACCCTCTCACTGGGGTTGAGCAACCACGGCTTTAAGTGCACAATTCAAAATTTTCGAGTATTTTTGTTCAATTTTCAGAAAGAAAAAGAAATGGAAAGTCTTTTTAAATATAATAATTTTATCGAATTGTTGAAATTCTATGATGTGCTCGCGTAAAACTATTTTTTCATTATAAAAAATTATTGACTATTTTTAAAATATTAGATGCTTTCCTGATTTCACTCCCTGAAAAGAAATTCTACAGATTTCTTTGATTTTTTTCAGTGTTTTGTTAAATAAAATTTCGGATGCTGAAAGAATAAAATTATGTAAACCATTTCTCAGTTTAATATCAGTGGGAAAAAAAAGTGAAAGAAAATTTACGAAAGTATGTCATTTGAATATTTTTAAATAATTTTCCACACTGTCAAAATTATTACAGAAAATGACTAATAAAAATTCAAACAGTAATTCCATTTTAATCTCGAATAAATCTTTAAATAAAGCTACTTTCTTGGAAATAAGTGACATATAATACACATTTTAAGATTAGACTTGTAAGGAAACAAATATTGTTTTTTAGTTAAATTTTCACTCAATTCAAATTTAAATATAATTTTACAACTATATATTGTATGTTTTTATAATAGAATTTCAGAACATGCGAAATTACTAATGACTGCAGTGAAAGGAGAGATGATTAGAATAATGACTTTTCATAAAACATGACTAACATGACTAATAAATAGAAATATAATTAAGATTTAATATCAATTTTTAAAATTTAATTTCATAAACACTTAATAGCAATTTTTCAATCCCTGTTCTAAACTCTTTAAGACTAAATATTTTTATATTAGAGCATCTATTTGTTTTTAAAATATTGAATGAGAATTGAGAATTTTTCTGTTATTCATTAAACAAGAGTTACTATTAAAATATAAAAACTCAGCTTTTTTTAAACTATAAAATATTTAACTTCAATCGTACTTATTGCTTGTAATCGATAAACAAAAATGATTGCATTGCAATAAAGGAAAAAGATTTTTCTGTTTTATGCAAAACTGCCTTCTTATAAAACGTGAATATGATAATTATCACAAAAAAGCTGAAAATTATCAATGGTAAAATAACTTTTAAATAAACTATTCTTACCTCTTATTCAACGAGTAAGTAATATATTTTTCGTCTCAACTCGCGTATTTTAAAGCTAACTTCCATACTGAAGGCCAAATAGTATATATAGTATAATAACAATACAAAAAAGAAAAATTAAGTTTTGCAGGAAACTTAGTGACTTTCGAAATGTATAACGTAATGTTTTACCATAGTTTCAACTTTTTCTTTTATACTTTAATTGAGAATATTACAAAAAAAATATTTATCGAACTTGGTGAAGAAGGATATATTCATTAATAGGATAAGAAACAATGCTCAGTAATATTCATTTCCGTTTTCTTTTTAGAATTATTTAAATAAATAAGGAAATGAGGGAAAGAAATAATGAATATAGATTTATGAAACCTCATACATGGAGAAAAAAGTTAATAACAAAAAATGAAGTTACTTTCGTTTTAAATTGTTTGTCGATATTCAGGCTCTATTTATTTATTTATTAATTCATTGATAATATAACTAACAGAATGAATATAGGGTAAACTAACCAGTGAAGGAACACTTAAGCTTCGCTTGCCTTTTAAAAAATCATATTAATTTCAAAATTCGTAATTTTAGTTAAATGACTGTTTCAACATATTTACTAATAATTGCAAATTTTGTAAAAAAATTGTAGAGAACTTACATAATATGGTTTTAAAGTTCTGGAGGTTCAAATAACAAGTAGTAAGAAGACCAAGTGAAGGAACAGCTCTTACCATTGACGGAACACAAAATTTCCCAGTAAAGGAACACAGAACTTCCCAGTAAAGGAACACTTAATTTTGGTTATTTTTTAATGCTCTTTATGAATTTGTATGCCATATAAATATCTAAAAACAAGCCTATTCTTGAAATTATAACATACAAATACTTGGAAAATGTTAACTTATTTTGTAATCATGAATTGAAAAGTAAAGTGTCAACATATTAACACATACTGTTCATTCACTGGGAAATCTATGCCCAGTAAAGGAACATGCCTGTTCCTTCACTGGTTAAAAGTTGTTTTTTGTATTTTTAACATACTTTTGATGCAAAACATCACTAAAAGTACAGGAAAATTAAAGTTTTTCTTTCATTTTCATTAACTTAGAAAAAAACCAGTAAAGGAACACTTGTTTTTTCACTGGTTTTTCATCGTTTGGTGATCCAGTGAATAAACACCCCCTTATCTCAGTACTTGATTATGATATGATGCTTAAAAAAATAAAACGTAACTTCAATAACTATATTTTGAATTCTTATTTTCACAGTGAGAAAAATAAAACTATTACATGCAATTAATTTCACCTCAAACATATAAATAGAAAATCTAGTTCAAGGAAACAGGGTGTTGCAGAGATAATAACAAATTTAAAAAATTTTCCAGAAAAGTCTACGTGACCAGGTAATCCAAAACATTGCTAGATGACTTCCTATTGTTTGGCAGTAAGCTATTTGTTACCAATCAATCTGAAGAAAAACTTTCAAATTCTTATTTTCAATCAATATATACGAAATGTTTCTTCACTGGGTATTGTTCCTTCACTGGTTGGTTTACCCTACTTAAGTTATATAGTTTATATCAGTAAATGCGTCAAGAATTCGATCTACTCTTTAGTTTATGTACATTTAAGATTCCTTTTATACTTCATTCTTTCTTAACTGTGAAAGTTAAGGGAAGGCAGTGAAAGTAAAGTTAATGAATGATAATCATTAACATTGAATGGTAACGGATATTGAATAACTTTCTTTTATTCACAGGTAAGACCCTATAGTTTTGCAAAGATGAGGAAAACTACATTATATACAATCATCCACACACCCGCCGAATATTCACTTTATTATTTAGCAAAACGCGTTCATTAACTAAATAAATATGTCTTAATAGGGCTTTTCCCACACCACATCTACTGTTTTTCTCCCAAATATAAGAATCCTTTCAGCAATTTATCCCTCACTGTCAAATTTAGTAGACTGTTATCAGCATTATCATACCTTATTATCATTATCATAGCCACCGAGAGTCAAAATCTATCAATAAGTTTGTGACGTCATCCCAGCGAGTACTAAGGAAAGCAAGAATCAGATTTGTTTTAAGAGAAAACTATAATAAGTAGTTCAACTATTTTAGTTTATTAACAAAGTAAAATGTTTTTGCTTTAGCTGATTTATTGGCACTTAAATGATTTTAGTTTTTTATTAGAATGGCTGAATATTACTTATCCCGTCAAAATGAATATGCAGGGTTAGTTGGTGTTATGAAACAATATTATTTGCATTTCATAGTAAAAAATGATTTCATAGGAAAAGTTTTCCTTTCACTTTTAAATCATGATTCATCAAAACTATTTTTAATATCAAAAGAATGATCCTTAATGAAATGTATCATTCCTTATTTTCTAATATGTAGAGAAATATTGGATTCAATAATATATTAGAAAATGAGAAATGATACTTTTCAATGAGAAGAAACGATTACGAGACTAAGAAAATTATGTTAAGTTAGAAAAGAGATAAATGAAGAATTATTGACACATTCATAAGATTTCCAATTTTAAATTTAGCTTTAAAGAATTCTTTCAGAACCATGCGAAGCACATTTAATTTTCAAGAGGAAATAATATGAACATAAACACTACAATTATTTACAAATATACGAAGAATATAAAATAAAAATGATTAATAATTTTGACGTTAAGATTGTAAATCTTTAAAATAGTACTTTTTATTTTCAAAAATAAATTAAAGTTTTTTTAATATTTTAATTCTGAACTGGCATGAAATGTTAATTCTCAGCAAAATATAATTTTTATTTCAAAAATTCTTGTTAAAAATGAAAACAAAAACGTGTTCTCATTTGAAGTCTTAAAGAATTTCTTAAGCTTGGAAAAAAACAAAAAAGTTATTGAAACGAAAGCAAGTGTCCATACAGGAACGCTAAAACCTGTTTGATTTAAGGTTAAAATATGAAAGTGTTTATAGTTTCTAATAAACATGTTTTATCTCTTCTGCGTCCTCTCACAATCAAATAGGTTTTTGAATTTTAATCTTTACATCTGATAAGGATTCATAATTGAACACGGAATCATCAGTATAAATATGGAATCATCTGTATATAACCATGAATCACTAGGATATCTATTTTCAATAGTTGATGAAGCTCTTGCCAGCACCTATAGTTCGTGAGCATGTTTCCTACACACCTCCTTGTCCAGATTTAGGGGCACAGTTCGCGTTCCATAATTTAAGGGCGAGGCTGAACAAAGGCCCCAGGACAAAATTATCTACCTCTTCCTCAAAGTGCAAAAATCTTATTTTCATGTGTTGTAAAAATTTTGAAGACCCTTCACATAAAATTGTAGTTTTTATATAGGTACAAAAAAATTCTCTGCAATTCTCTTTAAAAAATTAATACACTATACACATAAACACTATATTTTTTGTAAGAAATTTTAGTCGGGCCCCCTCTACCCGGGACAATTGTCCCTCTACCCCTCCTTGTTTAAGGGGCAAATGGGGCCACTGTGAATCTGTGGACTAAAGTAAACGTCTAAATCAGTGGCCGCAAAATGTGGATTATGGATTAAAAGTTGGAGATTAAGATAGATTGAAGATTAAAATAAGATTGGATGAATGACTATAGAACGTTATAAAAAGTTCTTCAGTGGAATGTTGGTGGTTTTTTCATACGAGAAAAGAACTTCACAGTTGGAAAAATTAATTTTGTTATTAATAATTAGACAATATTTCTTAGTATAACCACAAGTAGGATCATAGTTTCATAAACTCTGCATAGATAAACCTTTGAGACGAGCAATTAAGCATACTTATACAGAAGCTAGACAAAACACCACTTTAAAACTTTGAAACTACATATAAATAAGAAAATAAAAAAAATTCGACGTCTTGAAGTTTCAATAGTAATAGAGGTTATATAATCTTTCATATAAGCAGTTATTTCAACTATAGATATAAAAAGAAAGGTGCATTTATCTTTCTAATCCTAGTCAAGCCTCAACGAAAAACAAAACTCAACAATTTTACTTTTAAAGTTGCTCTTCAATTGTGAAAAACGTAAGCTAGGTTTTTTTCCATTTATAATTCAGTTATTTTTGGGTACTTTGAAGTTAAATCAGCCTTGAAATTTAAGAATGGTAAAACCTAATTTTTAGCTTTTAACGTCATTCCTTACCAAGCTAAAAATATATATCATATTAACTTTGTATGTCTGAGTTATTCAGTAATATTGGTAAGGTTGGTTCTTATCTGATTTAAAATAAGAAAGGATTTTTATCAGTAGATGACTCTATTAACATACGTGACTTTCAAAAACACATTTTTTGATGAAAAAAAACAATAATTTTAAAAGAAACAAAAAAGCAAGCTATAAAAGCAAAGTTGCATGATAAAACTTCCCACAGAAAATAGTTTACAATGTTTCAGGTTTTATAATCATTTATATGATTCTACATTTATTGTAGTTCCCGAAATTTAGACTTGTGTCGACAAAAATCCTTTATATTGGCAAGTGAGTAAATTTCTTGATTCGTTTATTTTTCCGCTGCTAAGGATATAAGTTTAAAATTCTTCTTGTATTTTATTTTATTTCATAACCGTCGTTAAACCACCAACACAATTTTTAAGGTTTACGACTGCCAATGTTCAACTCCGTAGCCTTGTAATTTTGAACCCAACCAAGAAGACAGTGTAACTCCTGGATCAAGTATTGGGAGAAATTTGCCTTCGTGGAGGACTTTTTTATGATACTAACCCGCATTTGCGTTACATGGAGAGGAAAACCACGAAACTCTCCCGCGGCTAGTATGACGGCAAGAGGACTGTAACCCATGATCCGTCCACCTATGAGGATATTTTACGTCGGCACTGTGATCGGTGCAAGTTGGGTGCGAAATTTGAATCGACCAGCAATCGCTGGGGTTCGAACCCGGTAAATCTCAATGGAAGGCGAACACTCTATCCCCTGAGCCATCACGACTCCTTCACGTGTTTTGTCTAACAAAGTTGTCTTTAAAATCTTAAACTCAATTCATTTATGGAATTTCCTCGATAGTAATGAAAAGTAAAAGTACTAGTCGCGTGTCTGTCTTAAACTCTAAAATTATTTTGAAATTTGGACAACGGGTGCTAAGGATATTTTAGCTCCGTATAATAAAACTCATTCAAAATCCTGAAGAATGGATATTCAGCTGGTGAGTAATAATGAATTTTAAACTTAGTATTAAAACTTAGCTTCTGAAGTAACTGAAATTTAAAAAAAAAGACTTTTAAATTTAAAATGTATTAAATGTATTATAATACATGAAAATTACATCACTAAGCCCACAAATTTATCAATTTCGTTGCAAATAAAATTTGGGAATATTTTTTTCTTTGTTTTTTTAGAGTAAGGTCAAAACTTAATTTAAATTAACAGTAGATTATACAATATGTATTCCTTCAAAATAGAAATTGATTATTAATTTCATTTACACGTACATACATCATCATAACAGATGTAGTTTACAGACGACTACACAAATTAAAGTATAGTAATAGTAAAATAGCTCACCATAAACATTGAAAAAATTGTGAAATTGTTGGCAATTTTCTGGGCTCGACTTTACGAAGGATTAATGTGCACTGCAAGAATATATATATATATATATATATATATATTTTTTAAAGTTTTGCTGGGATCACAAGTTTTTTAAGAGGCTACTGCTGTGAAGACAATTACATGCTTTGAATTCACGCTAGAATAAATAGATAAAAATTATCAGTAACTTACNTATATATATTAAAAAATAATGTAAACGCACCGGATTACATAAGCGCACTTCAGGGTGCCTGTACATTTTACCGTAAAACCTATTTCTACCGAAATGTTTATTAAAATTTATTGAAACTGACACAGTGATTTTTACAGTCACATTTGTAGAATCACTAATTCACTAAATATTATTATTAAAATTACGGTATAAAATTTTAACGTACTTATTCAGGAATTTTTTGAAAGTGCAGTAATTATAGCACATAAATCTCCTTCAAGAAATAAATTTTGAATTATAATTTATTTAAAAAAAAATTTCATAATAATAATAATTGTCTTATAAAGAAAAGAGTATGCTTATGATTCAGGACAGATATATTTAATTATATTTTATAGCCGGCGTTGAAAATCCGATCCAATTCTGAGTTTAAGATTGTTAATGTTCAACTTCATAGTGTTGTAATCTTGAATTAAGCCACAATTCCGTTACATGGGGAGGAAAACCTTTTACTGTTTGACTGTTGGCAAGGGGATCCTAACCCACGATCCATCTATCTCTCAGGATATTTTTACGTCAGCACTGCTGTTGATACGCGCCAGGTGCAGAATTCGTACCAACAAGTCATTGCTGGGATTCGAACCTAGATCACGTCATTGGGACGCAAACACTCTATACCCTAAGCCAGCGGATCGTATAGATATATTATCAATGTTAAGATTATAATTAAGACAAAATAAAGATATATTTATTTTAAAAATACTTTTTTTAGCATTGGCTTTTCTGTCGAGTGTTTCCCGAAGTTTTTGCCGAAGTAAATAGCACCTTATAGCGAATATTATGCTATTTTTTATAAATGTTGTGAATTTGAAACACTGCTAGATTGATGAAATTTATGACTGCTAAGCTAAGTTTTGTCTCTATTTAGTAAAGCTCTCTATACTAATTATGAAAATGATGAAAAATGTTAATACAAAGGATATTTACAGTTTTCAAAGAAGAAAAGCTTTTGTGATCCAATTTTTTAATATTTTAAAAATAAATTCAACGTCTACTCGCATAAAAGTATGCTGAAATCGAAAATGATTTTATGGTTTTAATAATTTTTATATGGGCAGAAACATTTTTAAAAATTAGGGTCATTTAATGACGTTATATAATTTTTTAATATTGCATTTAAGCTATTTTTCTACCTGTTCACTGTAAATTCTGTTGAAAGAAAACCGCTTAAAGATAAATGCTGATATTTGTTAAAATTTTTAATCACGCTACAATTTTTTTTACGGATTTTCTTTGTTGATTTAAGCGGTTTAAAATTATTTTTCCCAAAACAGTTTTTTTTTTCTGTTTTTTGTCCTAATCAAAAATGATTTAAAACTGCCCATTCAAATTTAAATTTTTTGCACGCTGTTTTGCTTACCATAAGACAACTTTATCTTATTTCTCGTATGTATCAGAAATTATGTATGGTTTTGAGGAGCGTATATATAAAGTGAGACTCGACTTCATTGTCGAATTGTTACTTGACCTCATAATTATCTGTATTTAGTTATAATTTTTCGGTAAGCTAAATCGAGAGACTTTTTAATAAGGGTCGTCCACCGTAGTTTTTAACGTTTTTATTCTTAAATATGATTTCAATAAGTAAGACCTTTAGGATAAAGACAATTTAAGATTTTCCTTCATGAACAAACAATAGACCTGCCGTGGCTCAAAAGACAGGGCGCTCGCCTTCGGTGACTGGATTCAAAACCCGGCGTTGACTGTTCTTTCGAATTCTGCTCTCGTCTCAGGGCCGACTTCAATGCTCGCATATTTTTTTTTTTCTTGAAATAGCAGAGTTTGTATTTTAAAATAATTGTCTGTTTAAAAAAAGAGGCATCCGTTTTTTAAACAACATTATTTTTTATGTGAAATAAACGGTTTTATACTAACACACAAGCTGACAATTTTTTTCTATAAAAAAAATTTTTTTTTTACGGTGTAACCCAGATATTGCTTTACGGTAATGGATTGTAAGCGTTTTGAATCTAAAGTATGACTTTTTTTTTATTTTAGTTAAAGAGCTTTTAAAAAAACCATAAATCCTCTCCTCTCCAAGAATACTATTTTGTTGCTACTGTATTAATATAAGTTTCGTAAAATTAAAAAATAAAATAAACGTAATAATTTTTATCTCTGTATCACTCTTCTCCTTTATTTTAATATCATTTTCCTTACCTTTTTTTTTATTTTTTTTATTTTAATTTCAGACCTGAAGCTAATATTTCAGAAATATCATAATTATGAAAGCTACTGAAAAGTTGGTATCAACTAATGCACTACTGATGTCTGTTTCTCTTTTCAAAATCCTATTAGTTAGTTTAAACTTCAAGTACCTATTCGCTTTTGAACCTAAAACCTTCTGCCAAAATACTGGAGTAGATATATGGAATTTTGTAAGTAAATACTGCCATATTACAATAAACTATGTAAGTAAATACTGAGAAATAAATTTGTGCCTGCTGCTCATTTTAAAGATCTAAATTGCTGACAATGGTAGTTAATAATACACAAGAAACTGGCCTCCCAAAACATGACGAAATTTTGAAAAATCAATTAAAAAATAATGGTTGCACAAAAAAATTAATGGTTTGCTGCTTTTTATCAGGAAACCAAAAATTTTTCTCACCAAGTCAAAAAAAGTAGTAACAAAGCTTGTCAACAGATGTCGCTGTTGCCTGAAAAAACTTTAAAACTATTGGACTATTCCAACTGAAATATTTGATTCGGCAATTTTGTATCCCAACTGAGTCACGTTGTTGCCGTTTCTTAGCTTTTCTTAGTAAGTAAGTAGCACCATCTGTTGTCAAAATAAGTAGTTAATTTAGATACGTAGTAAAAATAAATTACTGGTTTAATAAGCAGAATGCAGCAAACCATGCATTTTTATCTTTCTCCGTTCTCCTATGAGTGATATTTTTTATCATATCCTGGTTTGTAAGCAATATATCGATAAAGAAATCCTACACAGAGCTAGTTTAAGCACTTTTTATATAATTTTGGATACTCATTTTGTAATGAGGAGTTTATTGTTTGTAAAAGAGAACTCCATTTTAAGGCTATTCTGCTCAGTTTATTTACGTTTATCATATACTAAATGAAGGAACAATGAGGCGACCACGTACATGCATTCACGGACGTTAAAAAACTAAAACTTTATATTATATTTTTTATTTAAATAATTTTATCAACAAGAAAATGTACCTTAATTTTGATGATTAAAATTTAGCATCTTCTAATAAAATACTAGATATTAAAAATCTAATAATAAACAGCGCCATTGTGCTTGAAGCTCCATAAAAAAAAATTCCTTACGCCTTTAACAATAAAAACTTACTTTCCAAAAGTGTTTATCTAAAAATTTTAAAAAGAAACATTATGTTAAGGATCTATAACAATGCCCATCTTTCCGTCTGAAATGTCAAAGCTGAAGTATAGTATGACTTTGAGGTGCTTTTCCTCCTCTGAGGCACAACTCTTCTAGAGTGTAAGTCTGGGGCTGTCTGCTGCTATGGTAACAAGCGAGCGCAGATTTCTAATGGGGGTGAAAAGGAAGAAAGAAGGTGTCGATTGGTTTACTCACGACCACCTATGCTAAGATTGAAACAAAACTATTCACCCCACACCCCTATTCGAAGTGATCTTTCCTCGTAACCATAGTACCCGCCACGACGCGAGACGGTCGTCTAGAGGAGTTCTCCTGAAAGCCGCACTATACTTTACCCCCTCTATAAACCAGGTCACAATTCTAAGGACAATTCGTGTTTTATTAATTATTGTCGTTCCAGTTTTACCTGATTTGAAAATATATACCTGTTTTGGAATTTTATTTTAAATAACGATATGATGGTCATAATTCTCGAGAAATAAATATCGGATCGAAAATTCTAAAATTACACAGATGAAAAGTTTTCAAAAGATGAATTTAATGATTCCAAACTTGATCCCCTTAACCTCACTCGTTGGGGATTTCTTCAAATTCTTAGATTTTTTTTGAAGACTTACGGCTTCATGGATTTGGTATAGCCCCGCTATCCCAGATGGGATTGGAAACAACAACAATTCTTAAATTAATATTTATTGCATATTTGGATTTTTGGAAAAAAATGTCTGCAATTACAGGCTGTTACAATTTGGTTTTCAGACAGAGCTTCAATACAAAATGAAAAGGGGATACAAAGGTTTACAAAAGGTTTATTAGAAATACATATCCGATTGAAAATATAAAATTCAGCATGTTCGATATTTTGACCTTCCTTGAAAGTCACCTTAGCCTCAAGTTCTTGCGTTTCATATCATTGAATGCATCTTTTGGAAAGATTTCACACAAGTGTAATTTAAGAACTTTAATACAATGCTTAGATATTCGACTGTTTCTATGCTTTTGGAACACCCTGTATATACTTAATACAGAAAGCAAGAGTAGTAAAAAAATCGTGTTTGGTGTCATCTAAAATTGAGTCCTGGGTTCATAGAGAAAAGTAAAGTCCTTTAACTTTGACATTTCAGAGTGATAGATGGGTACTCTATTACACGGCGCAAAAAAATTAACGAACCACCTTGAATAACTTTTGGTCTAATGATTGAAAAGTAAGTATCAGATCAAAAATTTTAAAACTACACTTGTGAAATTTTTGCAAAAGATGCATTTAATGATACCAAATGCATCTCCTGCCCAACTGCTATGTCAAATACACTGAGTTTTATTTTTATAACCAGATTAGTATTCCTAGAGATATCTCCGTTGTAAGCCATTTGTATCCCATTTTGTGATTACAGCGCCATCTGTAAACAGATTTTAACCGCTTGTAATAGGTACTTTTTTTAGAAAAATCCAAATCTGCAATAAGTTTTAGTTTGAAATTTTAAAGCTTCCCCTAAGGGTGAGATTAAAAGACGAAGTTTGGTATCATGGAATACTTCGTTCAAAATTATTTCACAATTGCAATCTTAGATTCAATTGTGATAGATTCAATTGTGATCTTAGATTCAATTGTTGATACCATGCTTATTTCTCTTGTTATAATACCGTTATATCTTTATTGAAAATTGAATTTTCAAATCAGGGAAATAATGTCAATTCATATAAAACTAGTACTGCAGTAATAAATATCTCATAAATTTTACAGCGTTACTTGAACTCTAAAGCATAAAAACTACGGTTTCTGATTTATGCATATCAAAACAGTACTCTCATTATATATCCTAACCGTATAGCATTTTATAACAATAAATTTTTATACAATATATATTAACCTACAACTCTATTTAATTAGTCTTTGTTTATTTTTTTAAACTTCATATACATATCAAATGTTTCTAAAAACAAACGGTAATTCAAATAATATTATTACTTATATAATATTATATTCAAATAATATTATTAATAATATAACAACTAAATATTATTTCTCTCATCAGGTACCCTGTGATGAATACTACCAACCAGAGAATTGCATTAAAGATGAGTAAGAACTTTTATTGTTAAACAAACAAAATAATTTCGGGTACTTTTCTGTTAGCCGGCGAAAAGAAATTCAATTTTTTTTTTAATTATTTTATTTTATTTTATTTTAGAAGGTTAAAGAATACCTGATTTTGTTATCTGCTTATTTATTTATTTATTGCACTTTTCGGTTCGCGGGGCACAAGGAAATTCAACTTCTTTTCATTTTATTTTATTTTATTTTATTTTATTTTATTTTATGTGTTAAAAAATAAATTAAATAAAATAAAACTTTAAGAAAATGTTGGCGGATGTCTATATTTTTTGAGGACTTCCTCTTGCACCCGACTATTAGAAAAATAATTTCTCCACTTTTATCACACAACTTGTCATCTGAGTTTTTCCTTAACTTTAACAGAGCAAAAATTCTATAACTACACTTGTGAAGTCTTTTCAAAACATGCATTTAATGTTTTTAAAGGTAATCCCTGCCCAACTACTGTATCAAATACACTAAGTTTTATTTTTCTTAACCAGATGCGTATTTCTCGAGATATCTCCCTTGTAAACCATTTGTATCCCATTTTTATTTTGTGATTACAGCGCCATCTGTAATCGCTTGTAATAAGTACTTTTTTTAAAAAAATCCATATCTGCAATAAATTTCAGTTTAAAATTTTGAAGCTTTGAAGTTGGTATAGTTAGTTTTTTCTGAGTGATTTCGGCAGCGTAACTCAGAAAAGCAACAAGGCTCCATGGAAACGAGAGCATGTCCATAACTAGTCAGCGATTACTAATAATATAGCATGACAAAATTTTGGGATGTAGTTGCTTTCTTTAGATAAATCACTTAATACATACTCATACTTCACTTTCAATGAAATGACTTTGAATTTAGAAATTTTCTACTTTAAAAATTTTTAGGGGCTTAAACTTGCACAATATTCATTTTTCGTAACCTACTTTAAAGTTCAAAATAATGGCTTTTAAAGCCCTTGCTTCAACCTTTGCACTTCATGAATGAAGTATGAAAAACCAGTGATCTCTTTAGATTTTGGAGATATATCGTCAAATATCGATAGTTTAAAATTATCGTGAAAATCATACGCAAAATATTTTTGTGCTATATCGGAAATCCGATAGTTATTATTGACAAACAATAAATATCGATAACAGATAATATCAATAAATATCGACAAACGATAATATCGAGAAATATCTTTAAATGATAATATCCTGAAATATCGCCAAGTGTTAATATCGTTAGTAAAACTCTTTTCGTGAAGAAGAAAAAAAAATTTCTTTCCTAGATCAGTGTTTCATAGTTTAAGGACTTTGGCGACTAAGCTGTTAAGCTCTGCTTTGCTTGACGCTTTTCCGCTTAGTGGAGCTGGAGGTAAAATGGGTGCATCAACGGATACATCTTTACGGAAATATTTTGACCAAAACAAAGAAAATTGTTGTATTAACGTGAATATTAGAAAATGAGCTATCGAAAAAAAGGAGACCACTCTACTTCTAATTGGTACCAAAATCTTCTGCTAAAAGTTACTTTTTGCAATATTTTGAAAGAAAAAAAAATTGAAAAGGAAAAATTATCAATGAAAATCTTTGCATATATAGATCTCACTTAATTAAATTATCATTACTTAATATTGTTATACTTAGACTCTTTTATTTTACTTAGACAAGTAATCGAAATTAACTCAAAAAAAGTCTTATTAATTATTCATTTGTCTATTTGTGCACAAGGTGTGTGGTTCTCAGTAAAGTACAAATACTTAGGTAGACTTGGTTCTTACAAGTCATACCAGCTGAAATTCAGAAAATCAGTAGGTTTATATAGTTTTTCCAACTCTATTTACCACACAGAAAATACCTGATGTAGCATTCATATCTAAAGTTATGGTCCTCAGTAAAAAAGACATTAAAGAATTTAGACTTAGTTCTTACACAACTTCTACTTAAAATCTCTGGTCACTTATAAAATGAAACCTTCTACCTGTATCAGACCTTGATAAAAAAGCTAAGTAACTCAAACATTTTTAACTATAGCCAATAAATCTGGTTCAATTAAATCAAGAACTGGGCAGAAATATAGCATCGTTCTTTTCTGTATGATATATAATGTGAGGAAGGTTCAACAACCGATTGTCTGATTTAATTTCAACATTTGTGACAAATTCTCAATTAACATTTTGTTAATCTAAACTTACACACTTTCTTGAATCAAGTATCCAGTGATTAGACTTTTCAGATGTTTGCCAACTCTTTCGTTCTCACAAAAATCAATCAAAATATTTTTATAATCTCCTTTGCAAATTATATAAAAAGACTTCTTCTTACTTTTAGGGCTGCTTTTACAACTCTGGAGGACTTCGACAGATGCAGTCCTTCCTACTTGTCAAAGTTAGGAAGAAATTATTACCTGGGAGCATCAGGACAAAGAGAAACATACATGGAAAATAAAAAATCTTATTTAAAGTAAGAAAAAATAATTATTAGCACTCGTCTGGTATTTTAAATCACTGTTCCAAAAGCTGTTTTTCGAACGCTCTATCGTCATATGAAATTATGCTTTTTTGCGAATAATATGCTATTTTCATAACTGCTGTGCGTTTGCAACAGTTACTCCTGGCTGTTAGGTTAAGTTTAGCCAAAGTAAAGTCAGTGCTGTCGATGCTTATTTTGAAAATGGCGCAAAATATCTGAAAAAACCCTTACTCTACAAGAGTGCACAAGTATTTACAGCAATCAGAAATAGTACATTCGATCCAAAGTAATTTAATGTTTGACCTAGATTCTTCAAATGTATACTAAAGAAAGCTTTTACGGAACTTTTAGTATATTTAGTTATTTTTCAAATTTCAAACCAATGTAATTTTATGTCAGTTTAGCATTTGATACCTTTCTTTGAAGCTACAGATAGCAGAGGGGAAGAAGAGTCCCTCGCGTCACCTCTGATTATGCAATCAGTCTAGCTAGTTGTTACGTATCTTTCTAATTTTGTATGTAGTTGTATATAGCTTTATTTCCTGTATATAGTTCGTCCCGATTTTGTTTTAAGCATCTCACTTTGTCTTACGATTGTACATTTTTTGTAATCATGTTAATTGCCGTATATAGTTGCTTTGCTACTTTTTTTATATATATAGTTTTTTTGTTTGTGGTGTGGTGGCCGTCTTACGCTTGCGGCGACCAGTCTCGTGCTCCATCTTGCGAGTCCTAGAATCCAAATCCCACATCTCCTTTGCCCGTTGACGATGACGTACGTGTTCTCCTTCTCCGACGTCAAGCCATCCCTTTTTTTGTCACTCTCATTGCTGTGCAGGTACGAGCGCGCTCTTTGAGTCATCAGTATAGTGCGGCTTTCAGGAGAATTCCTCCCGACATCAGTCTCGCGTTATGGCGGGTACCATGGTTACGAGGGAAAGTCACTTCGTATTGGAGTGTGGGTGAATAGTTTTGTCGTGATCTTTGCATGGGTCAGCGTGAGTAAACCAATCGACACCTTCATTTCTCCATTTCACCCCCCATTAGAAATGTGCACTCACTTGTTACCATAGCAGCAGACAACCCCAGACTTTTACAGACAGCCGCACTATATCTTCCCAGGTGCCCCCTACAGGGACGGGATGAGGCTAAGCTACGTATATAGTTGGTACTTGTATTTCTCTTCATGTGTATTTTATCTAATCTGATTTTACTTCATTGCATTTTGCTTATTTTTGACGATGCCGACTACTCCAATTGGACGCCTTTTTCTTCACGACACTTCTGGTGTGATTTTCTTGATTTTCAAGATCACTTCTGACCTCACTATATCCCCTTTCCCTTTTTCCATTCTATTTCCTACGCATAATTCCATTTCATATTTTTTTACTTATAATTCTGGTGAATCGGTAGGTGCCGCCATCGGCAGCAGATTGTGTATACATCGCGAACTCGCATTAACATTTGATTGAATAATATTTTTTCATATTTTTTATAGGATCAAAATTATCCCTCAAGCACTTCGAGATGTAACTAATTTTAGCACAAAAGTCACCGTCTTGGGTACAGAAGTCGGTTACCCAATAGGCTTCTCTCCTGTCGGTCTTCAAAAGTTAGCTCATCCTGATGGCGAATTGGCCACAATATCAGGTAATGAAATTTAAGAATCATAGCAAAACCAAGGTAAAATTAATAGAATATAGGAAGAAAAAAAATTTTCTCCAACAATACAAAATATCAGAAAATAAGCTTTAATCAATACTATTTTATACATCATTCCGATGTATGTCTTGATACTTTTATTGATTTATACTTTTTCTCGATACTTTTACTAGTTTATATTTCAGTTAACTTCGATAGCGTCACTTATTTAATGATTTCATTTAATTGAAAGCGCATAAATTCTTTTGAAAAATTGGTTTATTTTGATTTCCAAATAATTTCACATCAGGTTAATAAAGAAAATTATTAGCACAACAGTATTTAAATTTGGTTTAAGCGCGTGTAGAATATAGTATGCTGTCTTATTATTATTGTTATTATTATTTTAAATTTGAAAGAAATTTAGGGTAATTGCTTAAATTTTATTTGCTTTGATTTCCATCAAAGATAAATTTCTTAATGAATATTAGCTAAATGTATGGATTTTTTAACTCAAAACACTTAGAAAAATTTAGTAAATTTTATATTTTTCTGCAAGATTAGGCGTACCTTACAGGTTATAAACAAATTTAATAAAATTATTCTCTAAACACTAATAAAGATCAGCAGATTTTATGTCACACTTAATCTGCACACTTCGCACTTTTTCACACTTCGCTCCCACCATAAATGCTTGTTCTATAGCAGCGTTTTTTTTTTCTTCAAAATATCAATTCTTTTCAACAACAAAAAAAATCAAGGAACATTTTGTTTACAAAATATACAATTCCTAAAGTTTTATAAAGAAAACATTTTATCATTATGTTACTAAACTTGTAATAAAATGAACGATCATCTTGATTTTAAAATAGTGATCGTTTATGACAGTTAAAATGGGGAACGGTTTTTATCTTTCTTGAATTAATTTTTTTTAAAATTCAATATAAATGCTAGATCTCTCCCTCTCTCTAACAGTCCCGTAAAACTGGCTATGACGTATATGTGTGGCAGAAGTTGAATTCTTGGCCATAGAAAGTGCCACTAGCAAACAAGAAGAAGCGCACCCCCGTCCTTAAAATAGGTTTGTCAGTATTGGCAAGAGGCATAAGACAACAACTAAAGCCGCCATGGCTCAAGGGATAGAGCGTTCGCCTTCCAATGAGGTGAACCGGGTTCAAATCCCAACGATGGTTGGTCGATACGAATTCCGCATCCGGCATGTACTGACCACAGTGCTGACATTAAATATCCACAGTGTTAGACGGATCATGGGTTAGAGTCCCCTTGCCGTCAGGCTATCCGTGGGATGTTTTCGTGGTTTTCTTCTCCATGTAACGCAAATGCGGGTTAGTTCCATCAAAAAGCCCTCCACGAATGCAAATTTCTCCCAATACATGATCCAGGAGTCCCCTTGTCTTCTGGTTCAAAATTACAAGGCTACGTAGTTGAACATTAATAGTCGTAAACCCAAACACTGGGTCAGTTACACAACGACGGTCATAAAAAAAAAGAAAAAAAAGAAACAACAACCACTAAATTTAATACTACTACTGTCAAATATAATGCTTTGAAAACAAAATATGTTTATTTAACTAAAACTGAGTACAATATTTATTGTCTATTTTACTTTGGCTTATATTTAAAGTTGTAATTTCTAGGTTTACAAAACTATAATGGTATCTTGATAATGAGTAGCTATGCCACGCATACCATTGAAGATGTTGCTGAAAGAGCCAATGGATCCTCTTTAACCATATGGATGCAGACTTACATCTTGAGGAATATCTCCCATACATTGGAAATTATACGGAGAGCTGAAAGGAGTGGTTTCAAAGCATTAGTCATCACTGCAGATGGAAATCTGAATCCTACAGAAACATGTGGTGCTAGGAATGGTTTGATCCTTCCACAGGGAGTCGAGTAATCAAAAAAAATTTTATATACATTTATAGATTAATTTATCTGCAGAAAAGCACACAAAAATTATTTGATTATCAAACATTAAAAAAACAATTCTGATAAAAGTTTGCTTTTATGAACGGATTTTTACGAATTGGAATGCAAATTAAATATTTGAAGGAACATGCCGTAATTTTTTTTAAATAAGTGCAGGTGATATTTCAAATGAAAAGGCAAGGCAAAGATACGTATTTCTACTAAGTCTATAAGCCTCTGTAAGGTGATAATACGTAAGTTACACCACTAGAGTCATCTATTATTTAGAAATTTATTAATCATATACTAGCATACGTCTGTAGAAGCATAAGTTCCAGATTCCGAGCATATTTGAAGCTGTATAGGAACATTAACAATCCACGAGGGGATACACAGCACTTAATAACTATACATCGAGTAACGGCATTTTGTTATAAATTTTAATAAAGCAAAAAATTCCCTCAGAAGCCTGTTGTTGGCCAAATGGGTTTCGGCAGTTAAGGCTCTAAAATTCTGTGACCAGCGTTATAATGGCGGCACTAGGGCCAGCGTTGCACACCAGCAGCCTTTAAAGCCCAAAAAAGTTTGTGTCCATCGATTTGTAGCTGAATGGACTTCAAACTGTCGCCAGAGATTCAATCCCAGTTTTTAACAATGACAATTCAGTACTTTAACCTTTGGACCACCACATATCGCTCATCAATTTCAAGATTATTCAATCAGATATCCTCGAAAAAATTAGCAATTACTTTTCGTATTGAAGGTAATTTTCGTTGCAAATGGATTTTATTTTTAAAAAAATAATAATTAATTATATTTATTTTCAATGATACAAACTGAAATTCTATTATAGCTTCATAGTGTATAGATATTGTTTTACTTTTTATTATTTTTAGAAATTTTACATGCATTTTTATCTTATAGAGTGATTAATGTTGGCAAGGACTTTTTAACTGCTATGGCTCCAAATGCAACATTCGATGACATTGCATTCATCAAAAGTAGGACAAATCTACCAATTGTTGTTAAAGGAATTCTGTCAAGTGAGCAATTTCTTTAAATGTGTTTTCTAGCTAAAAAACAAACATAATCTAATAGACGTTTGTGTTAACATGAGAAATTAGTTACACTAATACTTTTTGTAAACAAGAGTCTCAAAGTTACACAACTACTTCATTCCCCTGCCCGTTGACATCTACTGTCCACACTAGTTTAGTCCAACGTCTTACTGAAATGTGTACTGGCGTGGTGAAAAAGCAAGATTTGCCGAAATCATAGTAACAGAAAGGGGGGGGGAGTCAACAAGTCATGTAATCTTGAGATGCCTCTTCTATTTATTGGGGGGACAGGAAAGTAATGTCATTTCAGAGCATTTGATATTTGTTATCAAGATTTCATTTTTAATAAATAATGTATTCACCCTAGTTAACAACAATCTTTAAGACTCCCCGTGTAGTAAATGATTACTGGTGCTCGTTAAATCTGTCGAGTTATAAAGTCATCCATGTTCCCATAACAAATTAATACCTCTGGGGTGCATTTTGGAATGGACCCACCCTATAAACGGGTGTGACGTATGGGTGAGGCAAAAGTAGAATTCTTGGCCTTCAGGCCATTGGAAAACAAGAACAATCGCAACCCCTTCTTCCTTAATAGCTGACGACAACAGCAACAACCTTTCAATGCCAGATCGAAAATGAATAAAAATGGATTGAAAAAAATTAATTGGTTTTTAAGACTAACGAATATTTAATGCGCTGAAACGACATTACTTTCCGGTCCCTCCAATACAAAGATTATAGCTACCGAAAATCATATTTAAAGATCAAGAAAGAATCTAGAAAAGCACTTCAGTTATGATACATTAAAAAAGTGGGGGGGGGGGGAGGNGACAGCATGTAACATATTTATAAAAATTTTGCTGTTGTCTAAAAAGTTGATTATTGTCAAAAATGACGCATGAGAAATTTTATTGCCAAAGATTCTGCGTGTTCCGCAATCCTTAACGTATGTCTTTAAAATCAGTGGCAGAACTGACGCATGTACTTTACCGCTCTCAAATTAATATTCAAGCAAGGATAACACAGAAATGCAATCGAAATTAAATGCATCTCTACTGTAAAGGCATGACTCATAATATAAAAACCAGTTTGGTTATCGCAAGAAAGGTCGAAATTTCCCTTAAATTTCATCGGATAAACAAATGTGTTTTCGGCTTTTAAATATTATTTATAAATAAATATTATTGTTATTAATTATAAATTAGTATTATTATATTTATAAATTAATATTATTATTAAATATTATTCGACGTTTAAATATTATGTGTATACTGTTCTAAAAATACATTTTAAGAGCGAAAGTTGTAGATCCCCTTGTATATGTCATAAATGAAGCACGTAGTTGGAGGTATTAAAAGCTGCACACGCCGGGATAGCCTGGTTGGTAGGGCGCTGGGCCAATGTCTGAGAGTTCGTGGGTTCATACCCCGGGGGCCCATGTAGTAAAGTGACTGATGCACGTTAAATCTGTCGAGTCGCAAAAGTCCTCAAAATTCCCATAACAAATCAAAACCTCTTGGGGTACCGGATTGGAGATCGATCGTTCTCTGATTCAGGTCAAAATTACGATCTGTGGATGAATGAATGGATGTATGAATGGGTCCGCCCTATAAACAGATGTGACGTATGGTGTGGCAGATGTCGAATTCTTGGCCATAGATGGCGCCACTGAAAAACAAGAAACGCACCCTCTGTCTTAAATTTGCTCGGTTTCACCAAGCAGGCTTGCTACTGTGGCAAGTGACATTAGAAACAACAACAACAAAAGCTGTAGAGTTAATTTAGCACAATATTTTAAATTGCTACTTACCTTCTTCATTCATTAACTGCTTCAACATTTTTATACTGTAGCGAGAGATGCAATCAAAGCTATCCATGCGGGTGCTTCTGCTATATTGGTTTCGAACCATGGAGGTAGACAGATGGATTATTCTCCTGCCACGGTGAGAAATAAGTACATTTGCTGAAATTGTATCTTGTAAATGATCATTTATTTACTAAAAACTGACCTAAGTTTTAAGGGGGTAGTACACAGTAGAAGCCTGAAAAAGAAGGATTTTTTAATGAACTTTGCAGCTATTGTGACAAACTTGATACACATTTTTTTGAAAAATCTTATTTACACATTTTAATCTTCATTTTATCATGTCACAAATACAAAAATTTAGACAACTAGCGGTTATATAATATAATGTTTATTACATATTTTTCTTAAATTTTCCGTAACTTGCTGTGCTGATAAGTTGAAAATAATCTTACAAATTTTATTCCGTTCTGATTTTTTCTAATGAATGCAGTTTTCGTTGCACGTAGGATTCAGTAAAAAATAAATTTTTCACAAAGGGATGGAGTTTTGAAAAAAAAATTAAGAAGATGATATTAAATAATTTACATTTTCGAAAATTACTCAAAGTCAATCAACGCAATCTTGATATTTCTACCTGCAACTGGAACTATAGTTATAGTGACCACTTTATCAAAATTTTATAGTGAGCATTTTAACAAAATTTTTAGTAAATCTGCTGAAAGCTGTATTGAATAGAGATACAGCAAATCAGAGAAACATAGTATTTCGAATTTGAAAATGTGTGTTAATTTTGTAAATTTTCTTATGTTAAGAGGCTAAAAATCTTGGACGGACCCTAAATAAACAGTTTAATTAAAAAATTTGCAAGAAAGTTACGTAATTTGAGAAGAATTGGGAGGAGAAAAATTACACCTAATTTATTTCTTACGAAAGAATTGGTTTGGCGACATTTTTGCTCACTTGGCGATAATCTTGGTAACTTGGCAAATAGATAGTTCTGGAAAATTCGAATTTCGAAGTGATATGTGTAATATTTACGGAGTTATGCGAGAATTACCTAGAATCATGTCGAAATTACCGGGGTTTCCTCGCCAAGGCTATATAAATAGAAGATAGCCACGTCAGAGAGAGAGAGAAGATTATTAGTCTACTTGAGTCTATTACTATTAGTCTACTTTACTATTAGTCTTGCCTGTGTTAAAGATATGAAATGATTTAGCTCATTTTCCCTTATGAGGCTGCAAAGCTTGTGTTTCGTTGTGTACTATACACTGTTCTGTAATTGAGAGCTTGAAATAACTGTATTTTCTGAAAGATTCTGCAAGTAAATGTGCGGAGTCTTAACAATTGTTTTGCTCATCTCCAGTCAAAACGAACTCCTATGCCCGGTACATTTTTGGAAAACAGGGAAAGTAAAATTTAAATAAAAATAAAAATATTGGAAGTAAGTAAGTAGCAAGTAAGAACTTAGAAAGTAAGTAGGTTTGAAAAGTTATATTTCTGGAATTACTTTGTCGCTTTATTTCACAAAGTACTTTATATTTTTGTACGAAATATTTTATTGAAATTGGACTAAAGTGAAAATTTTCTTAACGGGATGCACAAAGAGTTTCTATTATTATTTACTTAATTTAGTTCAATTCGTCCTAACCATTAAGAAAACTTTGTTTATTGAAATTAGTTTTGAAAATTATTGAAAACCTACGACGGCTATGTGCATTCGAACATTCTTTTTTCAATATAGTTCGAAAATATTGAAGTTTGAACCCATCATTCCTCTTAATTGTATTATACCAAGCACTAGTGTTCATCTCAATTGGAGATGAATAATCAGTCCTTAAGACTAAAAATTTATTTGCAAAATCTTTCAGTATGTAACTACTTCAAACACTTAATTACAGCTTAAATAGCAGTGTAGTACACAACAAAACAAAGACTTTATAACCTCAGACCACTCAATGAACTAACTCTAGTCAGAACACAGCTTGGCGAGAAAATGCCGGAAATTTCGTCAAATCTCGAATAACTCCGTAAATATAACTCCTATTTGCCTTGAAACTCGAATTTTCCGGAACGACCATTTTGACCAAGTATCACCAAGTCGCAAATATAATCGCCAAGTCAACAAAAACATTTTCAAACGTCCTCTTTCCATAAGAAATACTTTAGGCCTTATTTTCGTTCTTAATTACGCTAAAAATTACCAGACTTTCTTACAAGTTTTCAAATTAAACTGTTTATTCAGGGTCCGTCTGAGATCCTTAGCCTCATAACGAAATATTTACAGAATTATATACAAATTTACAAAAGCGTAACAACAGATCCGAGTAAATAGCATATTAAGTTTTGTAATTAATATGTTTCGGGATCAATAACAATACAATACCTTCACAACAACAACAACAAAAAAAACAATTCCTTTTGAAATAAATTCTGAAAAACATTTTTTATATTCTCGTCTTCCATTTGACTGTTTTTTAAGAACTTTTATTAAGATGAGGTATGGAATAAATTTTTAAGCTTGATCGTGTATGTAGCATAGATAAGCTAAGAACTGAAAAAATTAGCATGCACAGTTTTTATTGTTGAATCGTAACTACAGCTAGTTAATTAATTTAATTATTTTAATTGCCTTTTTATTTATTCGCCTCCCATATAGCTTTATAAATATTTTTTTCGAATTTGATGTACAGTATTTAAATCATAGACTTTTGTCTTTTTTTTTCAGATCGATGTTTTACCTTTCATTGTAGACACTGTAAAAAAATATTATCCTCATATTGAAGTCTACGTAGATGGAGGCATACGAAATGGTTATGACATTTACAAGGCTCTTGCAAGGGGTGCAAAAATGGTTTTTCTGGGACGACCCATAGTATGGGGTTTAGCATATAATGTATGAAATTCCTTTTATTTATCATAAATATCTCTTACTTTCATAATAGGTTGTATGAAGAAAAAATATGTAGAATTCAAAATAATAAGATAGAAATTTGAAGCTGTGATCACATAGCCGAACATAGTGATCACGTAACCGAAACAAAAATACTTTGCTTCATTGCAAAATGTTACAGAATTGGCCTAAAGTATCATTTTTTGTGGTCACAAACGTATATTTCAATTATTTTGAAGCATAAGTTTAACTTTAAGTTCAGAAATGTAATGTTTATATGTAAGTAACAGTGGAAAATTACTTATGAAATGCAACTAATAACCCCTTCCTTCTCGCTCCCGTGAAAAAGACGGGGTGAGGTTTCGCCCTCTATTTCTCGCTCCCGTGAAATTTCCGAGCTGGAGTGTTCAGTAGTAACGCGCCAATAAGAATAAAACTAATTCATTTCTTTCTCCCAGTAAGCATGTCATTTCTCATTTTACACACCAGGTGGCAGTACCAGGATATCTTTAAGGTAATTGTAGATAGTTAGTTTATTTTAAACTAGATGTCAGCACAAGATGTTTGGCTGTCAGAAAAAAATAGGCACTTTTACGACCGTTTTCGTGAAAATTAACCGATCGTTAAGGGGTTAAGTCTCCCGAAATCTAAATGAACACCTAGAATAAAGATTGGGTTGAAAATTGAATCATTCGTATCTATTAGTTATAGAAAACAAAGATTTTCATCGTAGAAAATAAAGAAGGCGAGGGAAAGTCGAAAATAGATATGATAGAATAGACAAATAATATGAAGAGGCAATAAACATAAGACATGATTTTATTTTTTAACACAATACACAATATGAATGTGGCGGAGCTTTTCTATTGTTTCGACTCCTGTATGTTTGTTTACGTCATAAGTAAGGCAATCACCGAAGCAATGAAAGAGGTTCAACCGGTTCTGTTACGTAATGATCTTTGCTTTGTGTCATATCGTAGACAGTGGTGTTGTGGCTTAATTTCATTTTTCCGCATAATACACAACTCAAGTCGATGAGAGCCTCTTGATTGTTTCATCTTGAATGTTTGTTTGCCTCACGAAAGGCCTCATAAGTTCGGTCAATTCAGCGCCGACGAAATGAAACCGGTTGTGTTACGTAATGAGTTTTGCTTAGTGTATTTATGAGGACGAAAAAACCTCTTCCCAAGCCTTAGACACGGTTTTTGGTTATATGCAGAGCTAAAGACTTGCTTTTGTGAGAAAAATATTTATATTTTTCTTTAAGCTGGGTTAAAAGTTAACTTGTAGTGAGGCTTTCAGGAGAACTCCTCCAGACACCCGTCTCGCGTCGTGGCAGGTACTATGGTTACGAGGAAAGGTCACAAATCAAAGAGGGGTGAGAGAATAGTTTTGTCTTCATCTCAGCGTTGGTCGTCGTGAGTAAACCAATCGACACCTTATTTTCTCCATTTCACCCCCATTAGAAATGTGTTCTAGCTTGTTACCACAGCAGCAGACAGCCCCAGACTTTCAGTCGGGAGGAGTTCTCCTGAAAGTCGCAACATCAATAATATAAAAGATTGACTAGTTAGCCGCTGCTAGGTAAGTTGAAAATTTGCAATGCGCCTTTATAAGCTTCAAAAAGATGTCCAGCAAGAAAATCAAGACTTTGCATTTGGAAGAAGCGTTGAGTGGCTTGCGTGACATTAACATTGCTTCTGTCGATATTCTTCAAAGCCACTAATAGGAATCACTAGTTACGAGAACAGGACTGTATGGAGGGTGGTCAATGCGCTGCCAATAATGTAATTTAGCATTACGGAATGTGGTCTCGCATTGTCATCCATCTGACATTGATTGTGATTGGCCAGCCTCTCACGTTTGGTGACATTCATATAATAACTCGAAAATATTTTGGAACGATTAATTTTTTACTTTCTTTATAAGTTGTATCTTTAAATTTAGATATTGACTCTTTGCAAAAATTTAACTCTTTTTATGGGGTATTAAATTATTGCCCTCGAATATTCAATATTTATAATTCCGGCAAATTTCCTTTTCGTTTTAGGGCTCAAGTGGTGTCAATCAAGTGGTGGATATTATAACAAGTGAATTTCAAGAAGTTATGACTGTGTCAGGTGACCAATTCCTTCTTCATTACATTAACGGATTTTTACTTAATTAAGTTTGAGATAATTATTCTCTCGAATAATTTCGCGCAAATATTACATTCATATTTCTTAGGTACAAGATATTAACGTGAAACAATGACGAGACATAAAAATTTTGAAACATAATTTCTTTCTTTTCATTTTAATGATAAATCATTGTTCGAAATTGTTTCGAATTATTGTTTTAAAAAAAAACCCAGGTAATATAAGGTTTTTGATAACTTTGACTTCATCCAACTTATTTTAAGTCAATTTTCCAATAATATCATATTTATAAATAATTTTTAATCAACTCATATAAAATTTTACTTATTTTGGTATTGATTTAAGTTAAAGTTATAATCCCCACCTCTTCTTTATATTACTTATTAACATTAACAAATGATATTTAACCTACAACTGCATAAATTTCAAATTTCTTTAAATAAATATAGGGAATTAAAGATACGATTTTATTAAATAACTGAACCAAAACTTCTATAGGCATTTTTTTCCAGAATAAATTTTTATACCAAAACACTGTTCAAATAATAAATAATACTCTTTCATCGAAGGAATACTAACAAGATATAAAATCCAATTTGAAGTAAAACTGAATTTAAAAGAATGCGATTATTATTACATTCCATTTTCAAACAAAACACTATTAGTTTACAGCGACAGTTAAAAAGTAGACAGTTAAAAAGCGAAACAGAAAAAAGGCTATGCTTACAACAAATTTTTTTTTATTTTTTCGTTTGATTCGGGTTTTTGAGTTTTCGAAATCAAACATTCCAACTTAGTTACCTGATTTTGACGATATTTTCTCAGTTGTTCTTATAGTTCAGGGGTGGCGAACCTTTATACACCAACGTGCCATTTTTTCTAAAAAAATTTTTAATGAAATCACAGACGTGCCGTCAAATAATTTTGACTTCATGGTTATTGGGAAAATAATAATACTAAATACTATCAACTCAAAACTCTTTATCTACATTGAAAAGAAAATACATTTTGCAATGTCTCAGTTATACGCGTAATTCTAAAGTAACATCAGTGGGACTTCTGTTCTTGCAGATTAAATGACAAATAACTTTTATTAGGTTGTAAGATATTAGTTTAAGCAGGACTGTTGATTTTTTTGTTAGTTATTTATTGTTAGCTTGTTTTTTATGGTTATTAATTGTTTTTTTTTAAGCATTAATTGTTAATTTTTTTATTTATAATTGTTTATTATTTTGTTTGTTTTTTGTGAATTTTAATTTAATTGTTACATATGCTTCATAGTGTAATAACATTTGTGTAATAACAATTCATAGTACAATAACAATTGTGATCGGTGGTGTGCCCAAAATATTGTGTCGCGTGCCATTGGTTCGCCATCCCTGTTATAGTTCATTAATGAACCTTCTCATCCTCGCATTTTCATGGTTAATTCTTAAAAAAAAAAATGCTTTTAATATTTTAGAAAATGTATGTTTAGTCTTATTCTTATTATTTATTTTTATTATTATTGGTATTATTGTTTTTATTATGTTTCTTGCAGGTCACACACATCCTAGTCAAATTGTCAGAGACAGTATATTGCCTCCTTTCCCAACATTTTAGAGACGAAATCAGGCGCCAACATTTATAAATTCCTAAATAAATAAAAAAAAACTTCTTTCTCATTTTTAAAGCAATAAAAGTTTACTGAAACTTTTGCGTTGGACTATATTTTATGTATTGTAGTGTAACTTTATTCTTTTAAGATTTAAAAAGTTCTCCTTTGAATTTTATAATTTTTAACAGCTATGCATGGACATGGAGTCTAGCCAACACCTCCTAGAAGAAGGAAGGCCTCAGCGCGGATCAATTTAGTAGTCCGATGTGAGGACGTTAACTGCGCAGTACATGAAAAATAAGAAATATGTCATAACGTTCGGGGTACTAAGCTGCGCAGTGGTTGAAAATACGAAATATGTCATTGCGTTTGGACTACTATAGTCTGTTCAACGTGAACTGATAGTGAAAGTAAACAAAGCGGCGTGCTATTTGGCGCAATACCGTTGTCAACTTGGCGTCGGAATAATGATAAATAGCGCCTATCAGTCAAGCAAAAATTCTACTTTCAAAAACCTATTGAATTCGAGGTTTACAAACTGTTTTTTTTTATAGGTTAAGTGGGTATATTTTTCTTAACAAAAGATTTTGTGAGACATATAAAAAAGTTCCAAGTTTCTTTTAGTGTAATTATTTTCGTTATACTTCCCTTAGAAAAATACAGATAACAGTTTAAAAATACAAATAAATGCAGTTCCTTCAAATATAAATCAATCGGTGAAACATTAAACTATTTTAAATATTATTTAACTTTTAATAAATTTTAAAAAAAATTGTAATTATGAAAATAAAGAGTATTTTTTCAACATATTATTTCATTTCTATGCGACTTTTACGATGGGATTATAAAAGTTATGTTTTGCATAGATATTTATGCAAAATATATTAAAACTAATTTAATCTAAAATTTAAAAAAATCAAAAATACATTAAAACTATTCTCAAAATAAAATTATGTGCTTACTGAAACAATTAGAAATGTATTTTCATGTACATATTTTAATTTTACACTTTCTCATTTAATTTTAAGGTATCAAAAACCGAATATCGTTTTCGTTTTTCCATGAACGAAATTGCCCATTCAGCGAAGAAAACGTTGAAGTGGCAAACGTTGGCGATCAAACAGCAACCCTTATGTTTACTTCCACTATCAGTTCTCGTTGAATAGACTATAAAGGATATTTATGGTAACCCGTGCTGAGGCCTTCTCTTTTCTAGGAGGTGTTGGTCTAACAGGGAAACGCTAAAAGATATCAACAATAGCAGCATAAGTCGCAGGCAAAACTTTATTCAACTTTTATCTGATTTACTTAGAATAATTAAGCTATATTGAAATAAGAACTTAATAACTTCAGAATCGAGGAGTTCAATTCAGAACATGGCCGTTGGGATTCTTCTAGCATGAGCACTTTTGTTATTATTAATTTTTCAGTGAAAATATCTAATCCCAGCATTTATGAGATTACTCTGCGCTTATGGAAAGCCACTAAAATAACTATCACGAGATCACCCTATTCACATGATCTTAATTTTGTGACTTGCTTTCGTAAAATATTAATAAAAAGAAAATTTACTCACACAACCCAAAATCATCACTCTTGTTCAAATTGTCAATCAGGAGGAAATCATTACATATATCTAAACTAGACATAGTTTTCTTTCATTCCTTTTAAAATTTGCATAAAACTTTTGATTTAATTAGAAAATTTGATTTAATATTGTTCAATACCTGTCACGCTGTATAGCAATATAAAACCTTGATCATTTTATTTATTTATTTATTTATTATTTACTTATTTATTTACTTTTATTTATAATTACTTTTTTGCATGTAGGGTTTTTACACGAGCGTATGGATACACATTTTTTACATATACGCTGCAATGCAAATACGTTACATATTTTACGACATTTTCTTAGTTTCAGTTTTTACTTTTAGTCAAACTGCACACTGAGGGAGCTAGCGAGATGCATACTAGAGGCGAATTCTTGTACCTTTGTATTACATGTATGCATAAGTTCCGCATTAATGCAAATTTATGATGATTTAACGCTTGCACGTTTTTTTCCCTTTTGCACCCTCTATCCTAGGCTTAGCGTAAATGAAATATTTGAGGGATCACATGGATTTATTTTCTATAATCATTAATCACTATTTTGTAAATAATTATAATATTGAAATATTATAATGTGCATAAATTAAACTAAATAATTACTTACTTTTGAGATCAACTAAAATGTTTAAATTCTGTTTCCTTGAGATAATTACGATCATATTGAAACAATGTTTCCAAAACAAAAACAAAAAAATTATTGAATTGTTTTTAAAATACAACTATTGTGTTATAAAGTGTTAAGAATAAAATTTTGTATTGTGCTGTTATAGATAAATTGCCTAAAATCATTTATTGTTCTTATGAAATAAAGTGTAGCTTTTTTGGAAAAGGATTTATATTAAGAAATAATTAAAAAACTTACCATACTAACTTTGGAAAATTTTTGAAAATCACGTTTCCCCCCGCCCACCACTTTCCCGAAACTATGCTTATGTCTTTAGCTTGCTATTAACATTCTTGCATGTACTTACGGAACAGAACTTTAAAAAACATCCACTGTTGTTCTTTTTATTTATTTAGAAATTAAGATATATATATTCTTTACCAATAACGTCCTCCACAAAGGACTTTCTGATGGAATTAACCAGCATTTGTGTTACGTGAAGAAGACAAGGGCGAACACCTCTCATGGTTAGCCTGACGGTAAGGGGACTCTAATTCATGATTCGTCTACCACTGAGAATTTTTATGTCAGCATTGTGGTCAGTGCGAGCCCAGTGTCGAATTCGTATCGACCAGCCATTGATGGAACTCGAACCCGGGACACCTCATTCGGAGACAAGCACTCTATCCCCTGAGCCACCGGAGCTCAGTTGAACAGATTTCGTTTTATTTTGTTTTATAACCGTTGTTGAACTGCTGACCCAATTTAGAGTTTACAACCACCTACGTTCGATTCCGTAACCTTGTAATTTTGAGCAAAATATGGAAGACAAATTGACATAAAAAATTTATAATATTAGCTTTAATGTAAAAAAAAGGAAGAAAAAACAGCTAATATTATGTACTTGGCAATAAGCCTTACTAAAAAACTAATTATTCCTTTTGGCAGCGAATTCAAATAATACCATTAGCCTGAGATATAAATTATTCAGTAATATTAAAGCTGGTATTTATCTTAATATTTATATTAAGAAAAGGATTTTTATCAATAGCTGAATCTTCCGTTTATGACTTTCGTACGTGACTTTCAAAAACATGTTTCCTGTTGAGAAAAAAAAATATTAAGAAAAAAAAGCACTATTAAGCTAAAAAAAAGAAAGTTTAATGATAAATATTTCTCTGAAAAAATAATTCGTGATCTATCAGTCTTTATTATCACTTATATGATTCTACAATTATAGTAGTTCACGAAATTTACACCTATTTCGACAAAATTCCTGATCATTTTGTCAGGTGAGTAAACCTTGTAATTCTTTCGTTTTTGCTGCAAAGCATATAAGTTTTTAGTTTCTTCGTGTATTTTGACTAACGCGCGATCTAAGGATATTTTTATATTCTTTAAATCAGTTCATTGGTTGAATTTCATCTCTAATAATGAAACAAAAATATTCTGTGTCTGTCTTGAAACTAGAACAGTTTTGAAATTTGGACAGAGAGCTCCCGATACTATTACACATTCAAACTCGTGAAGAACGGGTATTCAGCTAGTAAGTAATGCATTTTTAAATATAGCATTAAAAAAAAGCTTTTGAAGTAATAAGTAGAAAAAAATACGTTCAAAATCATTTAAATTCTAAGTGTAATTAGAAAGCAGGAAATTAAAATAAAAATTTTAAACCTACAAATTTACTAATATCGTTTCAAAGATAATTTGGCAATATGCATTTTTTCCCCAGAAAAACGTCAAAGTTTAATGCAGATTAACTGCAGCATCGAGAGCCATCCAGAAAAACTCTTAAAAGGACCTCAAAAATGGCCTTAAAATCATTTAATAATAAAAAATATCTATATTTAAATGAGAAAAGAAAAGAAAAATGAGAGAAAAAATACTTTTGAAATCATTTAAATGCTAAGTGTATTGAATGCAATTACAAGCTAGGAAATAGAAATTAAAATTTTGAGCCTGCAAATTTACTAATCATATTTCAAAGAGAATTCGGCAACGTACATTTTTCTTTTTAGAATAACGTCAAAGTTTAATGCAGATTAACAGCAGCATTGAGAACCATACAGTAAAATTCTTAAAGGGACCTTTTAGAAAATTGGTACACACGCATACCTGCCAACTTTTAATCCCTTCCATTATCATTTTTCCCAGATGGAATTAAAACTTCAATTTTAAGCAAACAAATACGTTGCATTTGAAAAAACTTAAGTTGACAACCATGATAGTAATGCATATTAATATATGTGCTTCATTTTTGTAAGAATAGTGGTGATCAAAATCATTTAAAAATTAAGTTTATAAAAGAAAAAAATAGTATATATTTACTACCACTTTAAATATGGAAATAAAATCTTCGGAAAAATCCGGAACAGTTGGCAGGTATGCACACGCTCTCAGAAAAATAAAACCCTCACTTTTAACAATTCAGCAAGCCTTGAGCTGTTGATTTTGAAAATCATTTCTTCACAAAATCACGTGATTTGTGATGGAACGCGAACTCTCAAATATAGCACTAATGTAACTGAAATATAGCACTAGTTTACATAGTGCACTAATGTAATCTATAGTGCACACATATATATAGTGATAGGACTCCTACGTTATATGACTCATCAGTTTTATATTCATAAATTATGATACAAAACGAAAATATAGTCTTGAAAAGGAAGCTGGTAGAATTTTAGCAATGGTATTGTTAATTATTTTTAGGATTGAGATATATTAAGGAAAATAAAATCATTCCTTTTAACACGGAAAATATCTAGATTAATTTTAACACCGTTCTTTTTGTTGGTTAGTATGTTTAAAACAGCCCATCGTGAAGGGAAGTTAGGGATTTTTTATTTACTTAAAAAATATATTTAGTAAATAATACAAAAACTTAAAACTTTCCAATATATCACAAGTGTGTTGTCTTTTGATTTGTCTCAATAGAAAACAAACGACAAGATAATGGAACATTTATTCCTTCGAATTGGCAAATGGTTACTAACTTTATTCAAACACTAACTGAATGCCAGTTCTTCGTACGGGATTAATAAAAAAATCAATTAATCAATACTGAACAACATTACAAAATAGTGCACAAAACTAAAAGGCATGCACCGACACAATTGAAGAACTTAGTGGAAGAACCAGGGTAGGTGACATTTTTAGGGGTATTTATGAATCAGTGAAAATTACAAAGTGAGCAGCGATGACTCAAGTGATAGATCGTTTGCCTTCCAATCAGGTGAACCGAGTTCGAATCCAGCGATGGCTGGTGGATACGATTTCCGCATCCGGCCTGTACCGACCACAGTGCTAAAGTGAAATATCCTCAGTGGAAGACGGATCATGGGTTAGAGTCCCTTTGGAGGTTCTCGGTATCTTCCTCTCCATGTAACGCAAATACGGGTTAGTTCCATCAAAAAGTCCTCCACGAAGGCAAAATTTCTCCCAATACTTGATCCAGGAGTTCGCTTGTCTTCTGGATTGGGTTCAAAATAGGCTATGGAGTTGAACATTAGTAGTCGTACGCCCAAAAAAGTTGGGTCGGCTGTTCAAACAACGGTTATAATATAAAATAAAAAAGTGATTGCATCAATATGGGTGTGTTTAATATAACATAATTGTTTTTGATTTCACTTTAATCTTAACTAACCCTCATTAGTTTTTAGTATGCTTGTAACTGCATTTATACATTATTACGTATAAACTGAATTTAGCATCACTTATCGTGATGATATTGTTCCCAGCCAACTCAACCATTTTTATTTTCTCCGGTACAATATACCGAATAAAAAAGATATCAACCTGAATAACTTTTGTTCTAATGATCGGATTTTCACGTACTAAGTGTCAATCATAATGGTTCTTTCAAATATGCTAATTAATTACTTCTAACTGTTAATTAAGTTATGAAATCAGACACAAAAACGCCTTTTCTCTGAATAAACATACATATTTGGATTTCTGATTCTCGAATTAGGGGGGGAGGGATAGCCGCAGACTAAAAATTGTGGTCTTAATAGTTTAGTCAGGAGAGCAGTTGAAAGTTTGGTCCCCTTAATGTTAATTTTACTTTTTGAGTTTTTGGTTTTATTTTTAAAACTATTAGCGCAATTTCAAAGAAATTACACACACCTATGAGACTCGTTTACCCAGAGATAATTTCAAGCCAAAAATTTTTTTTAATAATTATTTATTACTTTTTATTATTTAATTTAATACTGGATAAAAAAAAAATATTTAAATTTTGAGTCATAATTTTTTTTATACCATATTGATCTACAAATACTTCTATAGGGAAATTTAAAGTTTCAATAGTTTTTATTAAGTAGAGGAAAAATTAAAATTAATAAGTTTTAAAAAAATAATTTAGAGACAATGAAAACAATAGTTAAAGTTAGCGATTAATGCCTAAGTTTGGTAAAACTTTAAAGGAACTTGACTTACGCAAGCTCAGCTCTAGTTTCATTCATGATTTTTTATTGTTTTGATTCAATTTCGTTTTCTTTTCTTTCTTTCTTTTTAATTACAAAATACGATGTTCCTCTTTAAGTCGTCTGTTAATTTATACTTAATTTAGTAAAGAGATTTAAATAAAATTTATATTTAACGATTTCCCCCTATTGAGCCTGTATGAGCAATGGCCTCTTACGAGGTGTTCGACACCAAATGTTCATTACATACAGCTCTCGTCGCAATGTTATCTAGCTAAAAGGGTGGGAGGGACCTTCATTTACTATCTGAAACAATTCTTGCTGAGTTTGGAAGCGATTTTGATTGGCAAGTCGTGAAACACGTCTCCGGTCCCTTTCATGCAGGATCTTTTTGCGTCCACAATTCTGACGTCGTCTTTCGTGACCACGTGTATTACACCACTGCTTGTAGACACGTTGAACAGCCCGCATCAAAACCCCAACAAATCCAGCAAATTTCATTCACCGTATGACCCTGGGCACGGCCTAACACAATTGCCCCTTTTTGCCACCACATCCTTACACTTGCCCATATATATTTACACAAAATTTCCGCTTAAAACAAAAATATCTCACTGGTGGCTACTTGCCTTTGATCACGTTGAGGCAGTGAGCACGCAGTTGAGCCCGTCACTTGACCACGGCCTCATCTAACAAAACCTAACTATTCATCGGTGCTTGCGCACTAGGGTGACTAATTTTTTGTTCGGTGAGCTTATTTAACCCTATATAATATTTATCACTACATAATGCTTATCACTACATAATGCTTATCTCTATATAATATTGATGCCGGCCAGGTGGCCGAGCGGTTAGCGTGCCTGACTGCGAAGCCATAGGCTGCGGGTTCGAATCCAGCTCTGGGCATGGATGTTTGTCTCTCTCTTTGTGCTGTCCTCTGTTGTGTGTGTGTATGATGTGCGAATGTGGCCCACCCTATAAACGGGTTTGTGGCAGTGTGGCGTGGGCAATGTTGCTCGACTCCGTGACTTTGGTTCACAGGTGCCCACTGGGTAACACGAAATGAGCAACAATTCTGGCATAGTATAGGCAAAGATTCAAATTCAGTGCCTGCCATTGGAAAAAAATATTAATATCGTTTTCAGTATCCAATGTTCTAGTTTCTATGTTTATGTATATGTTATGCTTATATTCTGCTATTTTATGCTCAGTATTCTATGTTTAGTATTTTAATTTCAGACTTCAAGCTAACATTTTAGAAATATCATAATTTATGACAGGATTTGTGAAATTGAAAAGTTGATATCTACTAATATACTACAGATGCCTGTTTATCTTTTCAAAGTCTTATCAGTAATTTTAAACTTGGAGTACCTACTCGCTTTTGACCCTAAGGCCGATTGCAATAATGTTGGTGCAGATGTGTGGAATTATGTAAGTAATCAGGAATTTAAAACTCTGCCTGCTGCTCATTTTAAAATGCTGATAAATTTAATTAATCATGCACAAGATACTTGGTTTCTCAAAGGATAACGAATTTTTGAAAAATCAATAAAAAAAAAACGCTTGCAAAGAAAGTTTTTTCCTGTTTCTTTATCAGGAAACCAGAAAATTATTCTCAATAGGTTGAAAAAAATAAGATACAAAGCTTGTCATAAGATTTCTCAGTTGACTGCAAAACTGTCTGTCTAAAAAAATTATCAGACTGTTCCAAATGCAATGTTTGATTGGATTTGGCAAATTTGCGCATCCAACTGAGTCGCATTGTTGCTGCAAATGAATTGCTGCATGCTTTATTAAAAGCATTGCTTTTTTTTAGCTTTTTCTAATGAGTATCACCATCTACAGCTATAACAAGTACCTAATTGTTAAAATAAGTATGAATAAATAATTGGTTTAATGGGAAGAATGCATCAAACCATACATTTTTATCTTCTTGTGTTTTCCTTTAAAATATTTTTTTAAACGTCACCCATTTCGGGAATACCGAAATATATGGAGAAATATATAGAGAAGGAAGATGAAAAGAATTCCGAAATATATAGAGAAAGAAAATGATACTCAGACATAGATTAAACACTTCTTATATCATTTTGTGTACTCATGTTGTAAAAAGGAATTTGCTTTTTTTCGTTAAGTTTTAATACTAACTATAACTTTATTTCAATTTAATAGATCTATTGAAATTATTTAACTTTTAATAATTTCTTTCGCTTAGCAAAACATAACTCGTATGAGTGATGTTTAACAACCGGTGCAACAGCAGATGTAACCTATAGAGGGTGTTCAAAAAGTAGGGAGACACTCGAATTTCTAACGTTCAGATTAAAATTTTAAAATTACTCTTTTCAAAAAATGCAATAAATGATATAAACCGCAGCCATTTTATAACAGTCATAGAACAGTCGACTCAATTTTTGAGTTTACAACTACCAATGTTCAGCTCCGTAGCCTTGTCATTTTGAACCTAATACAGAAGAAAAGGGAACTCCTGGATTAAGTATTGGGAGAAATTTATTGTTATCATGAAATTTATAATATCGAGTATTGGATCATCGTGGTAGACTTCTTGATAGAACTAACCCACATTTGCATTACATGGGAAGGAACACCACGAAGACATTCCACCGTTAGCCCGACTCTAAGAAGACTATAATCTTTGATCCATCTACCACTAAGGATGTTTTACGTCAATACTATCGTTGGTTCGAGTCGAATGGGAAATTCGTATCGATCAGACTCCGCTGATACTCGAACTCAGGGTACTTCATTGGTAGATGACAGCTCTGTCCTCTGAGCCGCCACGGCTCTAAGCGCAACCATTTGAGGCTATGGTGACTTTCAAGAAAGGGATATATATTCGAAGTCGAGTATAGTGTCCTTAGATATGTTTTTCAAAATATTAAATACTCTGAACAGAATGTGTATTTCTAGAGTGCTATCTGAAAACCAAATTGCAAGAACCTGTAACTTTAATAACTTTTTGGAAAATCCATATCTGCAATAAATTTCAATTAAAGATTTTGAAGCCACCCAAAACTGTGAGATTAAGGTAATAATATCATCGGAAGCGTTTTGTGAAATATTTTAAACGTGTAGTTTTAGAATTCTGATCTGATATTTAGTCCTTGTGTTATATAACCGTCATATCTTTATTAAAAATAGAATTTCAAAACAGGGAAATATTGCCAAATCAGATAAATGAACTCCAATAATTAATATCGCATAATTTTTTCACCGAGACTCGATCTCTAAAGCACAGAAACTATTATTTCAGACAATTTGATAAATATCAAAATACCCTCTATTATATATCTTAACCCTATAGCATTTTGTAACAATCAATTTTTCAATCAATATGTTTTAAGCGACAACTAAAATTAATAAGTCGTTATACATTTTTTTAAACTTTATGTACACATTAAATATTTTTAAAATAAGTTGTAATTCATTATCTAATTATCATATCTCCTTTCAGGTACCCTGTGATTCATACTATCAACCAGACAATTGCTTTTCTGATGAGTAATGTTCTTTTAATTACCTTAACATTTTTCAAACAAGCTAAATAACTTCGCTACTTATAACTAGTCACCTGAGACGACCGGCAGGTTCCCCTACACGAAATCATAACTTCGCCGTTCCACATTATCTTCAGCCTTCATCAAGTCACCGCTTCGCGGCTTCACATTAATTCTGACGCATTTGGCAGCATTGTACAAATTCTATGGCATTGGTATTTTAGAAGCAAAAAGGAAGGGATGGGGTAAAAATCACGCACGTTCTTGTCGCCTTGGGTCTTCCTCTTTCTATTTCTCTACACGAACTCTCCACTTCAAGGCACCACATTGACCCTGCTGCCTTCGGTGGCATTTACATTAGCATGTTAGTAGACATTGATATGAATAGAAAGTAGAACTAGTTTTGTTTTAAAATTATTTTTAATTCTACTTAAATGTTCTTTGCTTTAATATGTACGTGAAAACAAATACGGTTATCAGTGGAAGTATAATATAATAAGACCTGCTCATATATAATATAATAAAATTTGAAACATATTTTCAGCCAAAAATATCAAAACACTTCTCTATTTAATCTGAATATACAGTGTTCATACTTACTGAAGGGTCCTAGTCATTATGATTTTTATGCTGATGTGAGAAACAAAAAAAAATGAAGAAGGTTGAAATGAAAAGTATCAATGTCATTTTGTGGTAGATTTTCTAACCAGCATCCCTACATGTACCCATTTTTTCTCACTTATTTTATTTAGGTAAGCAATAAAAATTAACGATGTTTTTTTCTATCTCTTGGTTAATAAATAGTTAAATTTTTAAAAATACTTCATTATTTATAAAGTTATGATTAATAAAATTGTTTTAGGAAAAAAAGTAATTTTGTAACGAAAACGTTATCCAAGACAAAAAAAACAAGATATTAGCTACATTGAAATACAATGGTGGACAAAATTAAGAGATGGAAGACATTTTCCCAAATATCTCAAAAAATACTGAGTATAAATAAATGAAATTTGGTATGGATATAGCTTATTCCATGATAATAAAGTATGCAAAACAAAAATGAAAGTGCCATTCACTGGCAAAACCTATTGCCAAAAAATCCAATGTAATCTGAACTTAAGGATGACAGACAGACAGCATGCACAACGAGTATGCATGCTGTTAATAAGGGAGTTAAGGAAGACTTGTGGAAGACCCTCCCAATTTTCCACCAGAGCAATTTTTAACTCCAGAATGGTTCTGGAGGGAGGTTGGCGCATCGCAATAGCTCTCCCAAGCATGTTCAATAGGATTCAGGTCAGGGGATTTGGCTGGCCAATCCATTCATTGAATATCCTCGCTTTTCAGATATTCATCAACCATGAGAGCCCTATGGGGTCGCGCATTGTCGTCCATAAAAATGATCTCAGGGCCAACAGCACCCCTGAAAAGACGCACATAGGGCTCTAGGACCTCCTGCCTGTACCTCTGGGCATTCACAGAACGATTGTCAAACACATGGAGCGGTGTGCGGGTATCTTGCATGCGTGAATGAATGTGCGAAAATGCTTTCCATCTCTTAATTTTGTCCACCAGTGTATATCGCGATATGTCGCGAAATATCGATATCTTCTGGCGATAGTCTGGTATGATTATGCGTGTATTTTTCCCTCTTCTTCCCACATAACACCAGAGCCCTCCCATGTAGCACGAGAGCCGTTTGTCCCAGGGTCCGGAAATTCGGTGCATGGTGGTATTGGAGCTCCCAATTCTAAATATCGTTCAACACTTTAAAATATTCCGTTCGAGAGAGACGCCGGGGGAAAAAATTTCTCATTGATTTAACATTGGGCATTGCTGCTAACTAAATTGCAAATGACTCTGTTATTTATCTCAAGCATTTAAAATATATTCCAACATATCTCAAGTATTTAAAACAAATTCTGTCATTGTGAAGTAGCTGAAATATTAATGTTCTTTATGAAATGGATGGATATCTGTGTAATCTCGATATTTGGCTCGAAGCTCCACTGACCGATTAGTCTTCACTAGTATGAAATATAAGTAGAATGTCAATATTAAAGTCATATGCTGGTTTCTTTATAAAATATTTTTTTTTAGATTATTATTCTTTGTTTCTTTTTTACAACTGGTAAACTTTTACGAAAATAAGTTTACTACTCGCATATATACTTCTTTTCAAAATAGGATAAATTATTTGTAACTGAAACGCTTCCTCGGTTTGATCAAAAAAATTTAAGTTTATTTTTCCCTAACTAGATTTTTTTCCTAATCAACCTATATAAATTTGAGTTCTTGGTGCAATAGGTACAGTTTCATAAATTGTAAGCGAGAACCAATTGAAATTATGAGAAACAATAGGTTTGTTTATTTTTTTTCAACACAATCACACAGAAAGTAACTGATTCTTTATTTAATGCCCCTAGTATATGGTCCTCAGTAAAAAAGGCATTTAAAAATATTGTTAAGACTTGGTTCTTTCCCAAGTCTTTCAATTATAAACGTATTAAAAATGCTTGTCACTTATAAAGTGAGAACTTTCCACCTGTGTCGGACCTTGATGCAAAAACCAAGTAAGTCCAACATATTTTACTATAGACAATATAGCTGTTTCAATTGTAGTATTGTCTTTTCCTGCTTGGTAAAGAGTCTGACAGAGGTCCTATAAACCGATTGTCTTACTTCCTTTTCGCTACTGTGACCAACAATTTGTGAATCTGAACATACCCAGTTTCTGGAGTCAAGTATCCAATCATTTTTACTCTTACTTCCTTTGCTAACTTTTTCATACTCTCAACAATGAATCTAAATATTTTTATAATCCTCTTTTTCAAATTATACAGAAAAGTTTATTTCTATTTTCAGTCTTGCTGTTGTAAATCTGGAGGAATTCGACAGATGCGGTCCTTCCTACATGCCAATCATAGGAAGGAATTATTACCTGGGATCATCAGGACAAAGAGAAACATTCAATGACAACAAAAGCGCTTTTAGAAAGTAACATTTTTTTATTAGTACTCATCAACATTGTTATTATTATTATAAATCACTGATCTCTATAGGTAACTGGAATGCTGATACAGAACAACCTGAACAGTGTAAGAGAATCCCGCCAAATTCACTAACTCTCTCTAAGGTTAGGCTTAGTTCTTACTTTAGCATTAATGTTAATGGGCACTCTTAAAAAATCTTTTTAAAATTACCGAATCATTTCAATTAAAAAAAAACAGATTTGATAGGTTTTTTATTTTTATTCATTGTATATTCTTTCTACTTATTGGCTACATTTCTGTTATTTTTATCGCCAAGAATCACGAGCATACCTACCTTAAATTGACGTTCAAAGATCGATAGTGCTGTATTTCTGTGTACCTTGGCTTCCTCTTATCCCAGTTCTTTTCCAAAAAGGTCTTTAATCTTACAACATTCCAGATACCTAGTTGAGATCCGCACGATAAACTAATATTATCAGAAACTATTTCCACTATACTTATTATGAACTATTATTTTCTACGTGCTTTTAACGTAGTTGGTTATCGTAGATTTTCAAAATTTCTATAAGCAAATTTCAGTTAACGAAGCTTAGTTAATGGTCATGACGAATCGAACTAAATCAATGAAATAAAATTTAAGAAAAACTCTTTATGCTATCCATTAAGAAAATTTTCAAATTAGTCCAAATAAAGTAGGGGAGAGTCGGGTAGCCCCGCTCACTTAAGGAGTATTGCTTATATTTCTGTATAATATTGAGTAATAATCAATATTTTTGTATGTTTCTATTGCTTGACCATATAATTAAATAATGCAAAGAGAATAAACCAAAAAAAGAATAGTTTAACTTAAAAAAATAGAAATTTAAAAAAACATGTTTTTCAGCTCTTTTCAAAATGTGTCGGGTAGCCCC